CAAAGAAAGCATGTGCTTGTACAAAAAAGACTGTTGATAGGCCAAGTCTTAGTGTTAGCATACAGATGATACACCAAGATGTGGCTTTCAACCAAATAAGCTCAGATCCTGTATTTGAGGGGTAAGCTCAGCACACTGTTCTTTTACAAGGGAAACACAGCAAACGAAAAAACATGCCCTTTTGCTTCAATTTCTGTTTCATAAAATCCTGCCTCCTCACAGGCATGCTGTAAAAATAAATATACTGTGTCTGTATGGTTTACCAATTACAGAGATCAATGCTGAGAAAACCCTGTAGGAAACTAGCCTTTTCGGGTGTCGGGTAGCAGGAAGCATACTCAGTGAAAACCACAAGTGGTCATAGGCTAAATAATGAGAATAAAATGAAATGCTGATCTGCCATTTCACTGCTTCCAGGCAGTCCCTTCTGCTCAGTCAGAAAGTTGATCCTGCCTTGGAAATCCTCAGTGATCTTGCAGCATCCATACAGAGGACTGAGATGCCCTCACCAGGTTCCAGCTCCTGTCCTCCAGTGGCATCTGTAACCCCAGAAGTGCCAGACCAAAACGAATCAAAGTGAAACAAATATCCAGTGCTTCCTGCACAAATATGCAGACAATGGCATGTTATGGCCCAGCTCTGTAACAGCTGGACTCTGCCCTGAGACCCAGCATGCAGAGATCATGGGTTTCTGAAGGAGTATGTGAAACCACTCCTGCCTTCTCCTTCCAGGTGGGACATGGATACAGGGGTAGATTTAACTAGAAATACAATAAATACAATCAACATATACACATATATACAGGCTATGGATAAGTCTATGAAAGATGTGAGGGGTACACAGAACACCTGGCTGAAAAACACTAGTTAGAAAGTGATTTCCAAGCAGAATACAGTCACAGTGAAACAGTTTACCTAATGCTATAAACAGCAAACCACAAATGATCCTCATGAAAACAGAGTCCAAAATATTTTTGGAGCTAGTCTAAATATTTATTCTTTTTCCTGGTCAGGAAAGCATTTTACCTCCCCGGCTCTCAAGCCATTATCTGTAGCAAACCCACTTACACAGGTTTATGCAATTTTTCAGCTCTGATCTTATAAAAGCTTTATCTTTGCATTTTGTAATTACGGTTTGTTCCCAAAACTATGGAGAGTTTGCATGAAATTAAACCAACTTAGTCACTTTTCTCATATCATATCCTAACCTACAATGTTGTGGAAACTGAAATAAAACATCCTTAGCACAATGACTAATTTATCCACTAGTCATTCTTGGGGTACTGGTGAAAGACACTCCTGGATGCTAAAATATTTGCCTTTCTATGCATAAAATTTCAAAGTAAATACCTCTTTTACAATACCCACTTCCAAAAGAAGCAAAATATCTAAAAATTATTCAGGCACTTTAATGCCACTAATAAAACTTCCCTTTCCAAGAGCCACAGTTAATTTTAAGGAACTGCTTTTAAAAAGATACAATCACAAGGAAAACTCACATTCAAGACAAACTACTGGCTCCCTACGAAAAAAGAAAAAGAAAACAACAAAAAAACCCCACTGTTTTTGGGAAAAACATGCTGTTTGAAGTGCTAGAATCTGACAAGTAGGAGAAACACCAAGACTTGTGAAGTCCAATTCAAATCCTAATTAAATTGCAATTAATTTAATTTAATTAATCAAAAGGAAAACTTGCACACATCAGGCAGCCGACAACAGACATGCTATGGTACAACTGAGCACAGAAGGAAGAGACCTTAGGAGAGGATAAGGACAATTTAGTGATTGCCCAATTTTTATAGAAAGTGTGTAACTTCCATTTTGGATTATCTGTGATTAAGGGAGCTGGTTCTTGTATTTCCTAGACACCTGTTACAATCATCACTTGCTTCCAAGCCTGATGTCATACATTTTCTCAAAGTTAGCATCGAGGCATCAAAGTACCGCCAGGTTTAAGGGGCAGGAGGACCTGGAGATGGCACTGCTTTCACAAGGAAGAAACATGCCACGGAAGAGTGAGCTTGCACATTGCTATGCAGGCAGCCCAAATACACATCCCTTCTTGGCACCTCTGTCTTACTAAAAATGACATAACACCTTGTAAGCTGGCCCCGTGCCACCCTGACAGATGGACTTAAGTGTAGCTAGCCAAGAGACTATGTATAAGCATCAAATATGTTTTTTGAGAGCAGGACTTCCAGCCAGGAATGTTAAAACAGCTGTCCACATGGAGCTTGCATGCCTACACTTAAGAGGATATGCTATTGCCACTCGAGCCCTGAGCTGGATTAACTTGGAAAATAAATAAGATAGCTTCCACAGCCACATAAGGTGAGTTTTTGTAGAATCAGGATTAGTAATACTCAGGGTGGCTTTACTGACCTACCCTTAGTGGACACACTCGCAGGACTGAAGAGCTCTCCAGTTCTGCAGCTCAATGGAACTTTCATCATGTGCACGCTTGTAAACAAATGTCTCTCATCTGAACGCATGTTTATATATGCTACTTTTCTTTGACATAAGAAAGCCATAGAAAGCAATGCCAGCATAATCACAAACCTGTTAATGACCTTCCACTTTGTGTTAGAGGTTACTTTTTTTAAATGCAGTGTCCTCACTCAGACATGCATCGGTGTGACTGGGATCTGTCTCAACAGGCTTTCTTCTCTTTTCAAAACTTCAGGTCCCATGGCCCACTCCAAGACTTCTTGCTAGCTCACACCCACACGCATGCATACATTGTACATTTTGACATCATGTGCATAGCTTGCCCCGGTAATAAAATCATACCATGGTAGCTGGCCTGCAGAGCCATGCCCTAGCCGCCTCTATCCTATCCTTGTACCCAGCTGGGCTGCCAGCCGTCCACGAACCCCTCTCCTTGAGAACAGGAAACATTCCAAACCACTGAGAAGCTCCAAAAAAACATGTTTGCTCCCATCAACATGGCAAACAATGCTTTTCTTTTTTTTTTTTTCCCCCTACGGAACTCAGACTTTACTCCTGCCACTGAGTCATTTGCCTAAGTCTATAGGGAGGCAAATATTCAAATCTGAACAAGTTAAAAGTTTACTTAGAAGTTCACACTATTTAAAAAAGATTTCCAGTGGGAAGCAACATCACTTCTAGCCCTGAGTAGCTTAAAGACTGAACGGATGTAATGGTACATTTTACTCAATGTTTAAACATGCTTTGTGTTTAATTCCTCTCCCTGTGGTTACAATCAGACATCAATTTTGCATGTATGCTGTAGCCAGGTACCTCGTCTTTACTCTTCTGAATCACAACATACAAACACAAGTGGACCCTCAGTATGGATCAAAGCTGCCTTCAGTGCCTGGCAGGTAAAGGGTCACATAGCCTTCCAACAGCAGCTTTGTTAACTTTAAGGCTGATCTTTGATGCAATTAAAAGTTACCTGAGTCACTTTATTACGATTTCCTGTTCTAGAAGCCCTTCAGTAGCCAGCACAGTGAGGATTTCCAGCCACTGACCTTGCTGCTCCCTTTGGTAAAGACTTCCTCCTCCTCTCCACAGTTCATCACTTTTAACCTTCATTTCTCACCTACAGCTTTTCCATTTCCTTTTCTCCCATGTGCTTGAGGACGGTATGAAATCATGTATTTGTAAAAGTTTCAGCCTCATCTGTTGCTCCAAACTACAATTACTAACCTCACCAATGAGACACTTTGTTTTTTCATACTGCCAATAACGTTGATTCTAGGTTAATCTATATTTCCATGCCACTTAACCTTTCTCAGAGGGAAGAGAGGAAAAACACTTTGACAAGTATTTCACCAGGCAGATTAGCAATACTGTGAAAACAACAGAAAAAAAACAGATTAATACCTCTCCCTCCTTCTGAAAACCCAAAGTGCCTCAGGCTCTCTCAAGACACGGCACATAGACCATGCATGGCTTTAAAACAGTTCAGGGAACAGACAAATTGCTGAACAACAGGTCAAAAGGAATAAAAATACTCATCTGGATCACTACTTTCACTTAATAAAGTAATTACACACACACACTCCTGAGTGTATTCCTTTCATGCATGTCTGTTTTACATGGAATGATTATCTTCACTGTTATCATGAAATCAAAGTAAGCTGAACTGCAGATGGTAATGCTGAGCATCCAAAAGCCCTTGGCAGCTCTCAGCCCCGTAAGTGCCTCTCCTTAATTGAAAAGAATTTGAAGGAGTATGTGAGGTTAACTTCTTACAGAATCCTGCAGGATACTAATGCAAAGTTATAGAACAGTCAATCTTCTTACGTATTGTACAAGCTATCAAAAATGTATGGTGTTCATTACCATGTTGAAACTCCAAAAAAGTTTAGTACCCAGTTCTCTGAGAAAAGCCAGGTGCCAGACTGGACTGTCATTTTGTTGTGTCCCTTGGGGTCTCGTAACCGAGCTCTTAAAGGTTTTACTTGCTGTTTTATCAATGCTTATTAATTCTTTTTGAGTTGCCAGATTACTTATCAATGCAAGCCGAAATTCACTGCTAGCTAAACGAATGCTAAGAAAGTAAAACAAAGCATGCCAAAACTCTCAAAGTGCTCATAAAACATTAACATCATAGAGACTTCAGGCTTGAGGCACCCTGACCAAAATTTAGGAATATACAGTTTTTGCATTAGCAAAAAGAAACTTGAAGGGGCATGGCAAACTTTAACATTGCTTTCTGAACACGTCACCTGCTAATGTCAAGTGCTGAAAAGTGCCAGGGAAGCCAATCTTCTCTGGCGTCCTGGTCCCCATGCAGGAGCATGAGAGCCCAGCAGACTCTACACCCACCACCTTAGCTCCACTTGTCACTGTGGTTCACCACTCCACAAAACATTTTAAAAACAGGAAAGCATGGCAATTTTACTTCAACAGTTCACTTTGGAAGGAAAGCTTAGCAAGGATGCTGTTCAGAAAGCACAGGGCAGCAGTACCTGCAACTGGTCCCTCAGAGAGATCTGCCTTCAAAGCACCCTGGTTCTTAGATGCCTTACCTAGGTAAAGCGAGGCGTTTTCTTTCTTGACATTGTCATCTAAGTAGGTTGGTCCCAAGGTATAGATGGGTGTGGAGCCCATGCCAATGAGGATTTGGGCACAAATGAATAAAGCTACATAGAGAGAGTGGTCATTTCCACCGGAGTCCTTGACACAGGCTGGCGACTCCCACTGCTCTTTGGCGGTGCCATTGCCAGTCACACACAAGCCCTCATTACTGACAGAGGAGTTCAATTCCTGGATCTGGTATGGTGGAGAGATGAAATGAGGTAAGGAGAAGAGTGCAGCCCCAAGGGCGATGAAAACCCCCCCCACAGCCAGCCAGAGCGGCCTCCGTCCACGCCCCCCAAAGTAGCTGATGAAGACCACCACCACCAGGCTCCCAATGTCAAAGCAGCTGACCAGCAGCCCTGACTCCGAGCTCTTGAGGCTGTATCTCCGCTCGATGGTGGTGATGACGCTGCTCAGGTAGCCGGAGACCATGAGGGACTGGATGAAGGTCAGGAAGCACATGCACACCAGGAAGAAGCGCGAGTCCGCCAGCACAGCCCGCAGGCACGCTCTGCCCGGGGGGCCCGCCAGCAGCACCGGTGGCGGCGGCAGCGGGGGCCCCGGGGACACCCCGCGCCCGGGCACCGCCGGCCGGCCCCGCTCTGTCCTCCAGGAGAAGCTCCCGCTGGCGCTCCCGGCCCGTTCGTCCTCGGGAGCCGGTCCCGCGGAGGGGCTCGGAGGAGTCCCGCCGCCGCCCCCCCCGGCCGCCAGGGGGGAGCCGAGCGCGGCCCCGCGGCCCAGCGGCGCCGCCCCGCCGGACGCGGGCAGGCTGCGGCCCCGCGGCGCCTCCGCCCGGCCCCCCGCCGCTACCGCCGTCCGCTCCGCCCCGGGGCGCCTCTGCGCCGGGGTCCCTGCAGAGGCCATGCTGGGTCCGGCCGTGGCCTCAGAGGAGCCTGGCAGGCTTCATCGCCGCCGTGCGTCGAGCGCGCTGAGGGGCCCGGCAGGAGCGCAACATAGCGGGGAGGGGAGGAGGGAGGGAAAGGGGTGGCCCTAGCCGCACGTGTCAGCCAAAGTCCTTTGTGGCTCCATCCTCCCTCAGTCTCGCTCCGCTGCCGTCGGCTCCTGCCCCCCGCCGCAGCATGCCCGCGGCACCGCGCTCAGCAGCTGCCCGCCGGGGCCTCGCGAGCAGCCCACCCGCCGCGGGGAAGTGCCGCCCGCTGCCGCTCCGCCGACCGCATCCTCCTCTCTCCGCGCCGCCAACACGGGTGTCAAGAGCTCCGATCTGCGGGGGGTGCTGCCGATCTGCGGGGCGGAGAGCAAGCACGGGAGGTCAGCGGCGCCGGCCCCACCGCCCCTGGCCCACCGCCCCTTGCCCCACCACCGCAGCCCCGTTCTCTGCCGACCCGACCCCACGGGCTGAGTTCAGCTCCGGGGAGCTCCCACTGCCCATACCGGGAGGAGGGTCGCGGGAGTGCCCCAGGGACCGCGTCCTTGGGGTCAGCACACGGATTTACATAAGAACAGGGGCTGACACACACGTCCTTGGGCCTCGACCAGAGTGCGACCCTTTTATTAGGCGCCGGATGCGACAACCAGAGGTCGCCGTGCCAAGCCTTTTATTTTCCAGCCTAAAAATAAACACGTTGAAATAAATACTCCGCTACAACTCGGCGGGCCAGGGAGCAGCAGCGGGCGGAGGAGAGGAGAACAAAGCCGATACCGGGCACCGGAGGCAGGCACCCTAGGAGACAGCACCCCGGGGCCGACCTCGCCGCCCAAGCTTTCCTGGGTGCCCCCCGAGCCCGCGGACACGCGGGACCGCCGGGCGACCAGTGATGCGCAGCCTTACCTACCCGGCAGCGAAACACGCGTTTTGCCTCCTTTGTCCGCTTTTGTCTCCCCGCCGCCTTCTGCTCGGTGCGGCCGCATGGAAGGGCGGGCAGGGGACGTAGCGGCAGACCTGGCAGCCGGACCCCAGAGGCTGCTCTCCCCCGACCCCCAGTGTAGGCAGAGGGAGGGAGCCGGCGGGGCGCACCGGGCTCCTTCCTCCCGGCTGCGGCGGGGCGGAAAGACGGGGCTAACTCACCGTGCCTGCGGAGCTGGAGGCGGCAGAGCCGGGCAACCAGCGGGGCCCCGCGCCCGTCACCCAACGCCCGGTCCCCCTCGGCCGCCTCCGCCTCCCCGGGCGGTTCAGTGGAGCGCAGGCGCGGCAGCTGCCGCCGCCGGGCAGGGCAAAGCTGGGCGATGCCGCTTGGCACTCGCCCCTCTTCCAGTCTCCCCTCGTAGCTGACAAGGAAGAGGCTCCGCGACACTCGCGACCTGCACCGACAGGGCATAGGGGCAGCCCTAGTAACACCCCCCGAAGAGCCTGTGGAGCACCGGGAGGGTGAGCCCGGGGGCAGGGCTGGCTTTGCCACCGGCTGCCCGGTGTCGGGGCTCTCCCTCCCCTGGGAGCTGCCGAGCGCCGCAGCTTCGCGGCGGTGACTGAGAAAGTCAGCGGAGTGCCTCAAGCGATATAGGCACCGCGGTCAGCCCCAGCCAGCTTTCGGGGTGTCTGCGGTACACACCGCGGTCATGAAGTGTTCGGGAGACGAGACCTCAGTTATAGCGTCTGCTGCAAAGTGAGAAGAAAGGACACAGTGATTATTTTATTTATTTAATGATTTATGAAAATAGAAAGCTGGGCCACCTGATGACCCATTTTATCCAGGGTCCTGTCTCCAATGTAGACTATCTCCGAAAGTGGGAAACATGCACAAAACCTATGCTCGTGCAGGAAAAGTTTGCTGTTTATCCTCACAGAGTTTCTTCCTACTTCCCTTCTCAGTTTGCGTTGTGTTATGAATTGCACTGTTTTTTCTCCCAACTCTGATTTTAAAGATCTGGTATTAAATCTAGGTATTCCTGCAAATGGTGACATTTGTTGTGGTTTGATGCAGGGTGAGCTGATGAGGTATTCCTCTTTTTGCTCCAAGTTTTACCATAAGATAATGCCGAGGAATACACCAAAGAAGTACAATATCCTAGACGTTTCTGAGCAGCTAGTGCTTTCTGGCAGGATTGAGGATTTACCCTTGATTTGTTTACCCTCCTTTAAAAAAAGAAAGACTCGCCACATTTGTTTACTTATTTATAATCCTGATGGATAAGATAGTTTTGTAGGGTACTATTTTTAATTTTTATCAAGTTTCTGCTTGATACCTCTTTGTGTTTGCTCAGCACTCAAACAGCTGAACTCAACACAGCCAAAACACTACTTTGTTTTTCTTAGGTTGAATATTAATCATCAGTATGCTGAGGTAACCGAGAAGATCAACAGCATCCTGGCTTGTATCAGAAATACTGTGCCCACCAGGACTAGGAAAGTGAACATCCTGTGGTACTTGGCACTGGTGAGGCTGCACCTTGAATACTGTGTTCAGTTCTGGGCCCCTCACTCCAAGAAAGACATAAAGGTGCATCCAAAGAGGGTCAATGAAGCTGGTGAAGGCTCTAGAGAACAAGCCTTATGAGGAGCATCTGAGGGAGTTGGGGTTGTTTAGCCTGCAGAAAAGGAGACTCAGTGAAGACTTTATTGCAGAATAACACAGCAGTTGCAAACACTAAAGTCTGAAAACAGGTACAATTTCAATTCTTACCACAGTAGCAAACCTATCAAGAGATAAAATTGTGCTTAAGACTAGGTGAAGTTGTTTGTCTCAGGAATTTATTTCAGCTGAGTACAGGTGCCAAAATACGTGGCTTCCCTGCTTACTTTTGGCTCTGAATACTTAAATAACAGGTTAGTTCAGCAAAGAGGGTATTTGTAGTCTGCAGTGGGTATGAGCATCCGGTGCCAAGTGATGAATGGGAAATCATTATTACTGTCTTCAGTTGACAGGTTAATTACAGAAGGTGCAATTATGGTACCCAACTTCACAATAAAATACAAATGTATAAGACTTATTATGCAAACTTTCTGCTTTTAAAATTTCACCCTAGTGAATTCAAAATATATGGTATCACTCAAGCACAAAGCAATTAGTGTTGCAGAATGGTCTGTTTATGGCTACAACTGCAAAAGAACTTAGCTCCCATTTTGCTAGATTAAGGACATGGGCTGACATCCGACTTTTTGTTTATATGTGTTAGCGAAAGACATTATTGAGTCAGGACTACTGGAAGACAGACCCTTCATCTTAACAGTTCCTATGTTCCCAGCTGACAACCTCCTTCCCACTTATGTGGGCTGCCCCTGCTGTGGTGGTGAGCACTTGCCCAGCACTCTCAGCTGCTCTTCTTTGAGGGACATGACCTCTCCTCAGAGGGATAGTAGCCGTGAGCAGAGGTTCCTTAATGCAGGCTGTCTTGGTCTCAGGAGCTGTGTCAGTTTCAGAAGAGAAGAAAGTATCTACAAAGGCACCATCTTTTTAAGGTCACGCTTCAGTTGTGATGAAATTGATGCTTTAAATGTGCTTGCTAATCCAGGGAGCTGTTGACACCCAACAAGGTGCCTCAGCCTGATCTATTCCAGGCCACAAAGAGAGGGGAGAACTCAGCTGAAGGGGGGCTTGAGTTGATGGCTCCGCTTTTCCCTTAGTATTTCACATTTCCCAACAGATCTTCCACTCAATGCCACAGGTGCAATAAATCAACACACTTATCTTCCTTCCCCTTTTGCCTAACGCTGCTGCCATTTTTGGGCAACATCTGCTCTTCATTCCCAGCCTAATATTAATAAAGCAATAAGCAAAACAGGATGTGCATTAGGAGTTTAATGGGCTTTATGTCCTCCTGGAGCGTGAGCATTGGGAAGCATGAAGTGAAAGGACAAGTAACTTCACTCCTCAGGGACTCTCACCAAGCTAGTGTCCTAATGAACTCCTGAGGGAAGCTCACTGCTGGGAGGCAGCAGCTCATTAGTTTTATTTGGGCTGTCAGAGAGAGCACTCATAACAGCAGATCCTAAACTAAAGAGCTCATTTAGTATGAGAAATGAGCTTAACCACAGTCAGATACCGTTTAGATAAATTCACCTTAACGTTTGTTGCTCTCCAAAGAAAAGCTAGCTTCAGTTTCATGAATGAAATAAAGAAAACTTGAATGCCAGGGAGGTGCAAAGCAATAGGGGAAAGGAAGAAAAGAAAAGGCAGAAATAATGGTTAGATTCAGGGGTGACAGCTGTCAGCATTGAAACTGTGCATATCAGAGAAGAAAGGGCTACCTTTTCTCACTGAAGTTATTATTCTACATTATAGGTTGCCCTGTGCCATGCTCTCCCACCCTGGGAGCAGCATCATGATCTACAGTGGGGTGGTGGGAGCAAAGAGTAGCAGGATAAAGGCCATGCCACCTGTATTAGTCATACTGATGTTTCTTGGAAGCTAACTGTTATCTTTTAGAAGATAGCAAGTCTCAAGAGTTAAGTTACAGGGAATCTACTTGACATAACTGTGTAAGCAAAACCCCAACGTTTAAGTGGGTTTGTCTGAAAAAGCTAGTTGAGCATCTGAAAAATGGGTCTAACTTGTGATTATTTATGTTTGTCTCCTATGCAAGTACACACAGAAAACCTCCTATTTTGAAAAATAAATTTAAGTGTAAAATGTCTCAGTTGTTCCTATACACAAGGAATAAAAAAAAAAAAAAAAAAAAAAGAAGAAGAGAGAGCATAGAAGAAACAAGGAGAGACTAAAGCATGTTTTCTTTCACTACATGCCGTTAACCTCTGGAGATCGTATCTAAGTGACAAACTAGGAGGCAAAATAATTCCCACTCCTGCAACATGTCAGACTGTGCTAGGAATTTGTCTAGTAGGGCAGAGGGAAGAGGGTGGATGCAGGAAGCTTTCAGAGTCAGCACAGGACCTCTGTATGAGCAGTCTCTCAGTTCCAAAGAGAGCTGTGAAGGCTGCCTCTGTCCTTGTGCTGAGAAGAGGAGCAGGCCCTTTCCTCCACTCTGGAGCAGGACTGGAGCCCCTCAGTCAAACGCCTCAGAGTGCTGAGGCTCTGGGCAGCTTTGAGCCACATTTCACCCCGCAGCGCAGTGCTCTAAGTGCTGCACTCTTGCCCTAAGCAAGGAATATCTAAAGACAGATAATCCACCAGCTAATCATCAAAGGTATTTTTTTCCCCCAAGTTATTTACAAGTAAGATATACCAGATTATTAAACACCAGAGTATTTTGTTAGGAATGTATACAGGGCTGTCATAGCCCAGCAGCAGTAAAATGAGATATGCTATATGCTTTGAATGCAAAAGCCCTTTTAGTGCCTATAATTGTTTCCTAAGATCTATGCCTATGGTTTTAAGTCTTTTTTGGTTTTTTTTTCTTTTCCCTACTGCCACAGCAGTATCAGGCATTAAGGACATATGAGATACTCACCCAATCTACATGGGAGAGGAAGAAGGGAGTTGTACTGTGCCTTTCCATGCCATTTCTTTCTTTATGTTCACATTTTTTCCTCAAAAGTCCCAGTTCCTCTACCACACCCTGCTTTTAAAATGATACAGGCATTCATCTGAAACTGTGGAAGCCTGTTTGAACCCAGGATCAAAGCCATGAATAAAGACTAAACCAGATTTCACTCTCACTCTCATTCATAGAGATCTCATTTCTCAGCATCTGCTGATTTATTTCAATGTCATCTTTCAGTGGCCTTTTGGCAAGAATTCTGTATTCATGTATAAGCTAATGCATTTATATTTGGTTAATATATGCATTATGACCTTAACCATCCTTAAACATCATTCTCCTCTCTACACTTACATGCCTTTAAGCGTGCTAGTTTTAAATGTAAAGTGACAAAGTCAAAATGCTTTGAAGTAACAGTTTGAATCTGTATGAATTCCTTGCCCATATACAAATTCAAAATTATGAATTAAAATAGAACATTTGCTCATTGTTTTTTCCCCCACCTGATCATTATTTTCTCTCAGGGGAAACACACTGGCAGAATCACAAAATATTAGTGCCACAATAGAATGGAAGAATGCCACTGAGTAAAAATATCCTCTCCAAAAGTCAGTACACAGGAGCATAAAAATGTCTGGGAACTCCTGGGTCATCATCTCCCAGTCCCAGTTACTGTGACTGCACAGACTTTTAGTCTGCTGTGTACCGCAGTGTGCCCTGACCACAAACACTACTAACTGCAGAATGTAGGGAGTTTAATACAAACCACCAAAAAACCCACAAAATCTATAATACACCATTAAACAGAGTACAAGAAAAAAAATCA